TGAACATATTCGGTATTAATCCCAGAATAAGAATTCATTGACAAGGTCATTATGAGGACATAATGATGATAATGACATGATGTATATATATACTGAGTCACTTCCAATAATCCCATATAATTTATTTTTAAATTTTTTTCCTAATTGCTAATGATAATTTTCAAGTTTCATATCCAATCATGAAAATACTTACATTGAAATTTGGATATTAAATTCGTAGATAACGAAAATTTTCTGAAAAACTTCCCCTGTTATTTCAAAATGAAAATATTTCTGTTCTGTACAAAAAAAGATATACTGTTCCAATGACTGGTGTGAGTCTAAGATAATAATAAAATTTTGCAGAATAGTTGAGTACGACGAGAATTCCCATAGTTGACACTATCTGACTGACACTGTCTTCACTGTTGAAGAAGATACTGTGTTAGCGAAACATGTCGTGATATATTTCTCAAATAAACTTTGTGGTGATCAAATCGTGAGGCGTAGTTTATGAAATTACTATGCATCTTCATCAAGTAACGGCCGAATCAATCAGAAAAAAAAACAAAGGGTGTGTGAGATAACATCGAAATTTTTTAATCCATTTGAAAGACCTATTGGTGTCATTCAGGGCTTCTCTGGGTGGAACGCATCCGAAACGTCCAGTTTTCCATGACTCTGGTGCATAAATCAGGTTGAATTTGACCGATGGCATGGGTTATGTTGGCTTTGAGAACCGCTGTGATTTGTGGCTAATTCACATATACCTACGGAGAAAAAGTCTAACGGGATCAAATCGAACGATCTCGGTGGACACTTTACATCACTTCCACGTGGCATGAACTGTGTGGCATGTAGCGCCGTTCTGTTGAAACCACATGTCGTTGGTGTCCAGATCATCCTATTCAAGCCAAAAAGTTCGTAATTATCAACCTATAGTGCTCGCCGTTGACAGTAATTGCCTGGCCAACGTTGTTCTCAAAGAAATATGGACCGATGACGCCGCCATCCCTATATCCACACCCACTTTTTCAGGATGTATTAGATGCTCTGGGATCTCATGTGGATTGGTATTGTCCCAAATTAGACAGTTTTGTTTGTTCACGTACCCATTCATCCAGAAATTGGCCTCCTTGCTGATGATGATTTTTAGACGAAAATTAGTTTCAGTTGCCAACTGCTCCAGAACCCATTCAGCGAACACATATCGTTGTCTACAATTGTTTCTCTTCAGTTCCTAGACCAGTTGAATTTTTTACGGGTGCATGCCCAAGTCACGACGCTAAATTCGCCAAATTGATGTCTGCAAAAGGCCGAGTATTTGTGAGCAAAGCAAAATCGACTGCCTTGGATTTTCCTGCACACTTTCACATAATATAGCGGCAATGTTTTCGTCAGATATTGCGTTTCGTAGACCTATGGGTGAAGCGCACGGTACGTTGCTCGAACATAACACCCACTTTGATAAAACAATTTTATTATTTGCATGTGTAGGTAGGTAGGTCTAAAGTGAGTGGGTCTATTCGACCCTCCACCAACTGATTAGTTTGTATGGTGAGTGGTCTTTCAGGTCAGATGGTGAGAGAGAGAGAGAGAGATCTGCCGAACTCAAAGAACCTGATTCGGTCCCCAGCGGGGCAATCACAAAGTATATGCTCTGCAGTTTCATCATTTTCCAGACAGAGACGACACACTATTTGCACGTGTTGTTGAATGAGTCCATGATGATTTGGCAAAACAAACTGAATAAATGACAACCAATTCCATAGATATAGCTTCAACAAAATGGCCTTTATTCGTTTTCAAAGTTCGAAAATCTCTCTTGGAAGACCCTATAGAATTAAGCCGAAGTGTGATTCCCACCACCTAAATGAATTTTAGCTCGCATATTTTGGGTCCCCTTTTCAACACATACACCGAAAGAAAGATGATTGTTTCACCATGGATCACGTCAAGCCAAATCTTAATGTGTTCGTTGACTCAGCCACGGTATTAGATACAATTTCCCATGGAGAAAATAGGGGACAAATAAATATCTCTTTAACTTTTCACGAATGTATTAACATTAGTGTCAAAATGATTGAGTCATTATTGAGTACCTAGTTTCACAATGAAAGTATTAGGTATTATACTATTCAATTTGTCAACGATCTCTTGAAAGTTGACTCTGAAGGTTGTACCATTGTCTTCACAGATGACGTTACTATTTTATATAGTGGTGAGAATAATTGTTTTTAATACTCTTCTTTATATTGCATCATACTATTATACTTATATATTCTTCTTACTTGTTCATTTATTCCATGTCTCTGGAAAACACTGTTACATGTTTGTCACACTCTTCTGGACACTCTGTGAGACACTGGATACTCTTCAGTCAGTGATCCAGTGTCTCACATTCACATAAAAAATGAGAGTCCCTGTTGCATTGTTTATGTTATTCAGCCTAAGTAATAAATGTCCAGTGAGTAGCCCAAAATTATTTTGAGCTATCTCTGTTTAGTTGGAACAGTTTGATTATTTCCTCAGGAGAACCCTTCCTAAATGATTTCCCGTGTGTGTTTTCAGATACTCTTTGTGTTTCTTGTAGATCCACTTCCCTGATCTGGTTCCACACTAAAGATTTTGGTACCCCCTCACAGTTGGTTCAGGGCCAATAAATGGAGCCGATGTTTCGTGCACACCTATCAGCTCTTCCGTTTTCTGTGATAGAGTTAGTTTATTTTGGCCTACCTGTTGCTCCAGTTCTTCTAGACATTTCCATACCAGATTTGATGTCATTCTGGGAATCATCATTGCCTCAAACGCAGCCTTAATATCTGTAAAAATATCGATCTGCTCATTTTATGGTCTCTACGCATTGCAAGATTGCATACGCGTTGAAAGACGGATAAGTATCAATTGAATGGGTAATTGTAAAGTGAAATCCCCCTCACACACAGGATGCTAGTACTATGTCAGTTGATCGTTTCTTGCTTTACTACCTGTATAGCAAGACACCCAATCAATTGGAGTTCTTGTGAATTCCTGAACAAGATATTACCTTGAAACGTATTGCAAGATTACATACACTTCCGGTTGAGAGACGGATTTGTATAAACCGAATGGGTAGGTGTAAAGTAAATGTCTACTCCCCCATTTCCCCTTCCGAGTTGAGTGCTCTGAGTTAAAATCTTCTCCACACGGTTACTTTGTGCAAAACATCCCATCTCGTCCATCTACCCCCGCTCCTCCGGAGCGATCCTCAACTTACTGATGGGCACTTCAGCAAGTTTGACATCTGACCTACTGCGATCGAAAGCCAGCCTTTAGGTGCTTTTACTTTCTCATCTAGTATTTTATTAAATCATAACGTTACCTGGACGTGGTTTATTGCATGGGACCCTCCAAAACTAACCGGAGACGAGAGTCGTTATGCAAGTGTTTCCCAATGAGTCTGAAACAGAATTGAATTTGAAATCTGGTTTAAAAGTTTTTTATACTTACCGGAGCCGCCTGATAACGATTCTGCTTGGTTGTCCTCTTGTGTTTGTCTATCTCTCTCGAAATCTTGGGTCTTCCCTGTTGAGTGCTTCGTGTAGATCGCGCAGCGCTGGACTGTTGTGTGATCGAACTCTTTCGAACACGTTTTCTGCGTGTTCTTTCATATACGCGTCTACGTAGTGGATGTTCAGGTCCAGGTCCCGGTATATGTACCTATATGGTAAGTTGGTATGAATCTCGGAGCGTTTACAGCGGCTCTTACGCAACCGTTCGTGAACGTCTGGATACTGCGTCTGGATGTCGCTGCGCACTGGCCCTAGGCAGTGCAGGCATACAGGATGATTGGGAGTAGTACGGTCTTGATTAACAGCAGTTTTACGTGAAGTCCCATGTTGCTTCTGCGACCTATAATCGTTTGTAGGTTTTGTTGGGCGGCCCATGCCAGCCCTAATATCTGCCGTACGTGAGCTCTGAACGTTAGTCTTCTATCGAAAGTGATTTCCAGGTATTTCGCTCCGTTGGTCCACGGAATCCCTTATCCGTTGAAAGTGACGTTTCCTTCCAGGTGTACCATCCTGCAGGTGAACAGTATTGCCTGACTTTTGTCAGGGTTTATGCTGATCTTCCAAAGGGTAACCCATTCCTCTAATCTGTCCGTCTGCTGTTGTCAGTATCTGGTAACTTGCACATGACTGGTTCATCTCGCCAGTAGAGCTGTATCGTCCGCGTAGAGTACCAACTTGTTAAAGTTATTCTCAGGCTTAGGCACGTCTACTGTGTATACCGAGAAGAGGTGGTGCAAACAAACTGCACCTTGTGGGACCCCTGCTAATAGCATGGTAAAATCTCTTTCCACACACAATATTCTAGTAGATACTAGTACTATGACAGTGAATCGTTTCTTTCTCTACTATTTGTAAAGCAAGAAATCTAAACAGATTTCAAACAGATTTAATAATAATAATCACCACAGAAATATGTTGTCATAGACTCAAAACACAATAAAAATATATTTGAGATACGTATTCATATAGGCCATAAGGCGTTGTCGATTCACATTCCAAAATTTTGAACATTATCAAACACAACTCAAACGACAAAATTACACATAATTCAATATTTGTTTCTGATTAGACTTCCAAGGTATATGAAATGTAAGTGAATCTTGGAATTTGATTGTAAACCGCAATTTGAGTATGAGGAAAATTTAATTATTCGTGAATCTGCGAGTATAGATAGAAAATATTTATTAACCAACAAATTTTCAACCCTACCGATTATTCACTAATTTTTTTTCCAGAAAAAAGCATTTAGAACGGATAATTTAGAAAACAAACCATTTCATTTGGCATAATTTGTTTGAATACTCAATTCAAAGAATTATGATAACGAAGTTTTGAAAGTACCTCTGAAACAAATTCAAAAACTCAAAAGGTCAATATAATTTGTATATTCGCTAAGCTTCTGCTTTGTTTTCTTGCTGTGAATATATTTGTTTTTTTGCAATATTCGTTATTTACTTTATCAATTTTCAGATTGAACGAGAAAAAGCAGATTTGAGTGTCCAAGTTATTCAGTTATCCGAACGTTTAGAAGAAGCAGAAGGAGGAGCTGAGAGTCAGGTATGGAAGGTATGATTACTTTGTATTTTGTAATAAAAAAAAAATATTTTAGTTTGAAATCAACAAAAAACGTGACACAGAATTGCTGAAACTTCGTAAGCTCTTAGAAGATGTCCACATAGAATCCGAGGAAACTGCAGCTATTTTGAAAAGGAAACACCAAGAAATTGTTGTAGACTTCCAGGAACAAATTGATTCATTAGCCAAAGCTAAATCAAGGTAAACTCAAAACTCAATTTGAAACCATGCTTCTTTAGTGAGCTCACTTCGAATCATTGTTTTAAAATAGATAAAATTATATAAATTACAAATAGCTAAGTATAGCTTCTGGAACGAGCCATCCTAAAAAGTCATTAGATATTGAGACTGTAAAAAAATCAGGTAACACGTCAATCCTAATAAACAAGGAGACACATTCCTACGTGATAATCAGCCTCTTGTCAGCCACTTCCCCACTTAAATATTAATAATGGTAGATTGACACCGTATTGAAAAAGTCAGTCAATTCTGTATTCGAACCTATATCATTTTTGACTTTATAACGATGAGCAACATTAGAAAAAATGAAATACTGTTATAGGTTTGTATTTAATTTCGAATTAGAAAGTAAAAGTAAAGAGAGAACTGAACTTCATCCAATATCCAAAATAAGCGCCAATAACTCAAATATCATGGTATGAATGATCTTGTTTCCTTTCTGGCCTACACCATCAGGTAATTTTTTTCCGTAGATTATCTAGAGATTGGCTGCGTCTCGTCGACTTTCAATCTTAACCGTCTCCATAGAAAATAAAACAGTCCAGTGGAGTCAAATCGGAGGATTTGGGTGGTCATTTGGAAGGACCCCTCCTTCCAATCCATCATCTCGGAAAGCTGTTATCAAGATACTGTTGTACTGGTACGGAAAAATGAGGAGGAGCCCAGTTTTTTTTTTGAAAAACTATCCCATTTCGTAATAACAGATCTGACTGGATGGCGTTTTTTCGGAAACACACCATCTAGGTGTGGTTTTATTATATGGTTAACTGCAATTTCTGCCAAAAATATAGCTAAGGAATTTCAAATCATTTAATATATTAGACAATGGAAGTCCGAACTAGTGAAATTTATACTCTGAATGTCGATTGAAATATGCGTCAAAATTATAAACGGAATATAAAATTAGAACTATTTCAATAAGAGTTATACTAGAAAACTTGTAACGATATATTAATACATTCAATGTATAAATTGAAATATTCTCTCTGTGTGACGGCTGTCACGATAAAACTCTATGAAGTATCCCCAATTATTTCCCAGAATGAATGTGTAAGAAAAATATAGTCTTCTAATTCTCCTGTTAAAATTTTTTTCTAGAATTCAAAGCATGATTTGAAAATATCGTTTTGTAGAATAGTAACTTGAATTGTAATCATCTATAGATTCAATCAACTTCTAATTGAGATTTTGCGATCATAATTTCTGTCTAAGCTAGTACGATTCAGAATATTATTAAAAGCAGAAACTTCCACTACTGAATCCAATTATTTCAATAAATGTTACATCCATTTTAACACGATTTACTTGATGCATATTTATTTCCGCATTTCATATATGATTTCGAAATATTTCAAATATGCAAAGAAAATATCACGAATTCATCGTAATACCACACTTTTTACTGAATTATATAACTGGAATTCCACCGTAAATTTTCAAAAATGAACAGAAACTTGATTCGAGACACTAAGATGTTTTATTCCTTCCTCTTTCCAAAACCGAACAATATCGATTCTAATTTTAATATCACATTTGCAAAATATTCAAATTCTGTTCCTATGGTTATCAAAACTTGAACGTGACCACAGTATTTTCTCGCATACTGTTTAATAATCTTTTTTTAAAATCTATTTTTCCGTTAACCAGCTGTCGCACCTCTACGAACGACGACCCTCAGAAGTCGAAACTTGTGCGAGCTAAGGATTAGCGAAACCTTACCTTTTAACGTGTGATTCCTAAGACGTTCCGAGTTTTGATGGTGTTTCAAATGAACATTCGCTAACTGAATATGGTTTTAAGGATTGCTTATTGGTGTTATATTCAACTTTCAAAATACTGTTTCTTGCAACTATACAACGTAGCACTCAGTTTTACATAAAAAATAAATGTGATCCGAAAAGTGAAGTTGGAACCTACATAATCAGTTTGCTGACCCGATTAAGTTGTGGGATAANGAATTTTTCACGGGTGCATGCCCAAGTCAAGACGCTAAATTCGCCAAATTGATGTCTGCAAAAGGCCGAGTATTTGTGAGCAACGCAAAATCGACTGCCTCGTTTTCTCCTGCACACTTTCACATAATATAGCGGCAATGTTTTCGCCAGATATTGTGTTTCGTAGACGTATAGGTAAAGCGCACGGTACGTTGCTCGAACATAACACCCACTTTGATGAAACAATTTTATTATTTGCACGTGTAGGTAGGTAGGTCTGAAGTGAGTGGGTCTATTCGACCCTCCACCGCAACCCATAAGGGTTGGCTCACACCTATTCACACTCGGCCAAATAAACCCAGCTTCTTAACGAAGCTGATTAGTTTGTATGGTGAGTGGTCTTCCAGGTCAGATGGTGAGAGAGAGAGAGAGAGATCTGCCGAACTCAAAGAACCTGATTCGGTCCCCAGCGGGGCAGGCACAAAGTATATGCTCTGAAGTTTCATCATTTTCCAGACACAGGCGACACACTATTTGCACTTGTTGTTGAATGCTCTAAGCGTCCATGATGATTTGGCAAAACAAACTGAATAAATAACAACCAATTCCATAGAGAATAGCTTCAACAAAATGGCCTTTATTAATTTTCAAAGTTCGAAAATCTTTCTTGGACGACCCTATAGAATCAATTCGTAACAGTTGTTGATGTATTTGACATATACAAATTGAATATCAAGCAATCAGGCCAAATCTGTGAACATTTCGAAAAATAAGCCAAAACTGGCCAAAGCTAAGTTCACAAAACAGATCGCTCCGGAGCCTATTTATCATAATCAACTTTTAGTTTCTTCGGCAATAAGGTTGTTATTAAGTATTGCACAACAATTATAAAATTATTTATTTTGGTTCTTTCATTCGCTGTACAAAGATCAAATATTCTCTTTTATTTTAATATGACACATGATAATATTGACACATCCACTGATGGGCTCATGAAAAAATTCGAGAATATAATTGAAAAAAACACATTAAAGTAAGAATGAAGAAAAAACAGGTATAGAGGAAAAATTGGGAAACAGAAGGGCTGATGCAATTCATACTCGAAAATACTAAAAACAATTTTCATAGATAATCTTACATGCAATCAAATAATAAATTATTAAAAAGTAAATTCCAAACTCATTGCAATAAACTCAATGAATCGATAAAATTAGCGAAAGAAAACTAACACGAAAGAAAAACAAATAAACTCGAAATAGGCTCAGTAAACTTCGGCAAGCTTTGAAGATGATAAATAAACAAAATTAAAATCAATTACTACATGAAGCTACAATCTTTCGAATGAACGAGGAATTGCAGCCGAATATAACTTGCCAGTAAAAGAAACCCAAATTAAGCCTGACGATCAAAACACTAAATCTGAGCTTTAAAGTAAATACAATAATGATTCTGATACAAATAATAACTCATTATATATAATAACTGGATTACTGTTAATTTCGAGATCAACGTAAAGGTAGTTATAAAAAATTGCTTTCAAAAATAACATCTATCTCAGCAACTCAACAAGTAATTGAAGTAGGTTATTCATAGAAAATCCTGTTAAGATCTCTGCAATATCCATCCGTAATTAGTGAAAATCAGTTGCAATTTATTACTGAAGATACATTTTCAGGTTAGGCAAGGTCCTATAGGTAGATGTCAGTGATTGAACTGAAAATATGACTACTTAGTTATATCTGACATTTTATTACTAACCACTCGTCGAACTACTTACACCTCGTATAATTCGTGAAATATCGATTTTGTTATTTAAACACCATCTCCTTCGATTGAATGTTGAATTGAATATGTATATTTCAATCGATTAATTTTATTTTCGGCCACAGATCGACTGAATGACCGTTTTTCAGAATTTAAACGGCAATTGAAAACGGTGTGTTAACTGAGGGAACTAGTCTTTCTTTTACATCATCAAACTAGAGAATCGCCTTCTTAGCGATAACATATTGGTGCAATATTTTTTCAAGTAAAAATGTTGATGAAATAATAAACCTGAGAAATTCGGTTGTGACCGGATCACTTCGCTGGGATATAAATAACTGTAACCCGTATCGTTGCCATATTTGTCTCGGTCGGATTCACCGTTCTGTATTAGACATCGCATAGTAAATCTGATGAAAGATAAACACCTTTCAAAACGAGGCTATTCATTTGATCTATATGTTCCGAAAGTAGAAACCACACCATTTTTTCTACATTTTTAATTTATTTCAAATACTTATGGTTGAACTTGTTTTGAAGAATTTTTTTTCAGATTTTTACATTTAAATATGATATGCGGAGAAAAAAGTTAACAAACATCAGTAAAAATCCACATATAAAATTCATATATACAATTGAAACTTTCTGAATCAAAAGTAAAAATATTTCATTCAATATTATTATATTACTTCAATTCCATTTGAACTTACAGTAATGTTTCCTGTACAAATTGGCCTTTTCATATTTAATAATCATTAATATTTTTTATATATTAATAGTTGTTTTTTTTCTATGTTATCTAATTCATTGGAATATTCGGATTGTTTGTATTCCATCCATTGATTTTCTTTTGCATTTCAAATCTGTTGATATATGTAGACATTGGAATATTCGAAATCAACTGGGTGTTTTGCTTCACTTGGACAAGGAAACGTAACGGAAACATTCTGTTAATTTATTTTCTCTGAAAAACCATGGATATCGATTTTGATATCGAATTTGCTTCTAACCTTCTTCAAAATTATTCACATATGAAATGTAGATAACATATTTTGATGCTGTGAATCTCAAATATCAAAAATCTCAAATATTTCATGAATTTTGAATAAATAACAATATCTGATATTCTACGTTGAATATTAAACATCTACTTTTCTTCTCACATCGTCCTTAATGCAGTTAAAATTATTCACTTACATTTTNGAATTTTGGAAATAACGTTCGAAACATGCGGCACGAACAAAACCTCTATTTCACCACTAATTTCGCTTCCCTCTTATATGTATTCAAAAAAAAAAGAATTCAACATAGTCTTTTATTTCAAAGTCACTTTAAACCGTACCTGTTACTATCACAATTATTTACTTTTGCTGGTCAATCCCAGAATGAAAAAAGGATCACCAAAATTGGTTCGAAATTGACGAAAACATGAAAACGCTCATATTTATCGTTTATAATTGCCTACACATTTTCATGACATCATTAAGATCAAATATTTCACTAGTTTTCGTAATTATTTCAGCTAGGACATTATTTTCTGTTGAAAATGTATTTCTTTGCTATCTATAAGAATGTATTGGTGGTAAATAGATATCTCGAACATGCACATAACTTTGCAACGCAGTGAGCCATTACGCGTCGCGTCTACTGTAAGACGACGGGGGACGATGCGCGGGGGTAGAGGGGCGATCTAAGCAATGAAGCGCTATTGCCGAGAACGCGGCCCAGATCGGTCAGACGCGTGAGGGCAGACGTCGTTGACGGTTTCTTCATAGGTAACATAAATCGATTCTCTAAGCTATTCATTACTGTGTGCAGTTGGCATATTTTTCAAGTTACTGTATTTTTAAAGTGAATATATGAATTTCAAGCTGTTGTGCGCGGTTTCGCCCGCGTATAATTTGGTTTGTCACATTAAGTGTCATGACAGACTATAGTTACAATATTTTTATAATAACCCAAAACTTCAGGTTTCCAACTTCAAAACTGAACTCCTATTTTCCCCCTTGGAGATTGAAATTCCCGATTTCCTTTCTTGGTACCCACCTAGGCGAAATGAACGAAATTGAAATTTGAGCCATTTCGAATTTTTAATTTCTTATATTTGGCAAAAGTTATACCCAGTTCCAGTTTGAATACTCTGCAAAATGACCGTCTTCAAAAGTTTTTCAACTCCTGAAACTTTGGTGAGACCAAAACAGCATTAAAAAACTTATATTCGATCATTATTTTCAATGATTTCATTAACGAACCCCATAGGTTGAATCCTGATATTAATAATGGTCAAAATTATCCCTTTTTGGATAAGTTGCCTGTATTAGGAGAGAGATGGTTCGACAATGAATAATAACTTAATATTGAATTACATATAAGAATCTATTTTACAAGACGGTATTGAATTTGAACGCGAAAAAACGAGACCAAAGACGAATAAAAAACACGTAAAATATAAAATATCGCCCATAAAACGAAATATTCAAACCTCCAATTGAAAAATCGGTGATTGGATTTTGACTGGAAACAAATCTGGTGTAAATGATCATGAAATTATTTAAACCGAAGATATTTTTGCAGAGGAGAAATGAGTAGGAGATGAGAGATCGGGGTTATTTATAGCCAAGTAAATTTATCTTGGCAAAGAGAACTTTAATGTATATGTAATACTAAGTAAACGATTGTTACAGGTTCGGACTTCCATTGTCTGAAAAATAAAGTTCGTTAAAAAGAAAATGAAGGTAAAATAATATTTTAGTGAAATTGATAAAATAATTAATGATAATTCTTATATATCATTCAACTTTTTTTTTCATAGATTTCAAATCTGTTAACACCATTTCAGACAATGGAAGTCCGAACCTGTAACATTTACCAAGAAACATTGTCAAGAACAGTCAAACCATAGTAAACAATATTCAATCAACAATTTGTATTAACATTCAAATAATCTACCTCATTCAGTCAACATCTAATGAAATTTGGTTCATTACTCCTGAGCTTCGATAATTTAACTATTTGAAATCTTTGATTCAGAATATGTATTCACGTAAATATATTTTGTTGTCGATTCATTGTATCTGTCATTTTCAGTACATAAAGTGTATACTCCTGAAGATGAAAACCGAAGAAACTTTTTGTTTCTCATAGTCATTATTAAAATTTTAGATGATGATTAGGATGATGATAAGGACCCAGGTGAAAGTTAAACTCTATACAGATCCAAATATAATACAAAACCTTTAACAAGAAGCACTCTCAAGCATTAATGTATGGTCACAGTATCAGGATTTCAGTTTTCGTCAAGAGAAATAATCAGAATTAGTACCCTAGAATCCCACACTGAATGGTCAGAAGCTGAAATTTGTTGAAGAAATAAAAATTACTGAATGAGATTTCATAAAAAAGTCACTTGTATTTCACACACAAGAAATTTGAACCACTCCTGTTAGAAAGGGCTCAATCCATTGAAAGTGTTTCAGTAATACATTACTGATCTGCTATCGAGCTCTCTTATCAAATATTTTCGTGTAATGAAACATATCTCGTTCTGTGTGCATTTGGAACCAGTCTGTGAAGAGCCTTTTTGTGGAATCTAATGAACAACCCTTGGCTTGAAAAAAACTTCAGTTATACTACCTGATTCTCTCAGGGTGGTCCAAAGTTTTAAACAACTCCACCCCTGAAACGTCCTTCTCAGTTTTAGAGAACAATTGGAATCAGCTCAGTAGAATGAATGTATTAAGATAATCTGGGCTCCCTTCAATATAGCAATCTCACTCAATGAATAATCAAATGTTTTTGATAGGAATGTATGGTCTAACCTGTTTCAAGACTACCACTACACGAATAAACTACTTGTGTCCAATATCTGGAAAGCAAGATGGATTTCATTAATAAACAACAAGGCCAAAAACAGATTAATTCTGACTTGTAGAACTCGTATTAAATTTCAAGAACACATCAAGTTATTCTTTCTCGTATCAAAATCAGGCACACAAGGTTGACACATAAATATCTGATGAAAAAAGTACCTATATTCTGTAATCTTCTGTGATCGGATCAATAGAGTGAAATATATCATTAGCGAATTACGAACTTATCCAGGTGATTTAGTTATTGAAAACTCAATTCACTTCTGGGAATCTGTCAAAATTTAATACCAAACTGCAAACGTTAATAATAGCCCTTGAGGTTGATTCGTATATGCGTGAGGTGTTAAAGAAAGGCGTTTATACTTATGTCGATAATTACTTCCAAAGTTATGAAGAGAAATTCCTTTGATATCTACTAAAATTTTTATGAAAACAAAGAAAAAGCAATTTATTTTATTTCCTGAGTCCTAACAAAACTTCTGAAGACTGGGGGTAGATGGTTGACAGTTATGGTGATGATTGGAATGAATCGATCGGTATTTGCGTTGATACCTACTACTTACTTCACATCTTGTGTGGAAATGAAAAATTATAGAAACTCTTTAGATATATACCTAAAAAAATTATTTGTCGTCGATATTATATCTGAACTGAACTGAAAAGAACTGGCCGATACTTGATGAAAATCCATATTGAAACTAATTAATACAGTTTATCGTATGATTTTCACTATAAAAGGGTTTTACAAAAACCTGTTCATAGTGAAAATAATACAATAAACTGTATTAATTAATATAAATGAACTCTTTTTTCGGCGAAAAAAGTCTTACAAATAATTTTTTTTCAACAGGAAATTATTTTTATATTATTTGATGATTGCTAACAGTTTGAATATTTCATATAATATATTCTCTCAACTTGTCCAGGAGTTTTTCTAATCATTTATTTTCATTTTTTTATAAAAAGTTGTTTACATAGCACTCAATTTACTTTTTAATTTTCAGAGCGGAGAAGGAAAAAAGCAAATTCCAAAGTGAAGTTTACGAACTTCTTTCTCAAGTAGAAAGCCTGAACAAGGAACGTTTAATATCTGTCAAACACGTAGAAAAATTAGAAATTACTATCTCTGAACTCAATATTAGAATCGAAGAACTGAACCGCACTATCGTCGATATCACCTCTCACAAAACCCGTCTCTCCCAAGAAAATATCGAACTAACCAAAGAAGTTCAAGACATCAAGGTCAATCTCGAGAACGCCATCTACTTGAAATCGCAACTTGCTGGCCAACTAGAAGATGCTCGCCGTCGTGCTGAAGACGACGAAAGAAGGCGTTCCATTCTGGAAGCCAATTTGCACCAGGTTGAAGTGGAACTTGAATCTGTAAGAGTTCAACTTGAAGAAGAAAGTGAAGCCCGTCTTGATCTAGAACGACAACTAGTAAAATCCCAAGGAGAAGTGCAAATATGGAGATCGAAATACGAAACCGAAGCTGCTGCTCGTGCCGAAGAAGTGGAAGAGCTTCGTCGCAAATACAGCATCAGGATTCAGGAACTGGAGGAACACATCGAAGCTCTTTCCGTCAAAGTCAACAACTTGGAGAAACAGAAATCTCGTCTCCAATCTGAGGTAGAAGTTCTGATCATCGACTTGGAAAAGGCTAACAATACTGCTAGAGAATTGCAGAAACGTGTAGAACAAGTAGAAAGGATCAACATTGATCTGAAAACTCGTCTTGATGAAACCGTTCAATTGTACGAGCAAAGCCAACGTGACCTTCGCAACAAAGTTACTGAACTGCAAAGAACTGTTCATGAGCTGGATAAGACTAGGGAACAAAAAGATCAACTTGCACGCGAGAACAAAAAATTGGCAGGTTAGTATATATTATTTTCCTAACCATATTTTGAATTAAGTCATTTAAAACATATTAAAAGGTATTTCTATCATCAGACAATTTCTAACATCAGATTTGGACTTAAATTTAGGGATGGTACAATTTAACAAACGAACTTCTAATACCAATATATATAGTAATATTTTATTGATTTGATTCAATTTAGTTAAAATTGATTTATTTCATTTAGTTGACCGTGTTCCTATATCGTGAACGTTTGTTTGTATTAAGTTGTTATTTACATGTCTCTATTCAGTTCATGTTATAACGTACTTATAGTAATTTTACTTTTGTGATACTTTTGTGATTTCATTTGTATGATATTTATATTTCACACAAGGCTTTGTCAATGAGAATTCATTCTTCAGACAATAAAGTATATTTTGAAATGAATAGAATTTCCTGTCAAGTAGTATGTTTAGAAATTGTATTGGATCTTTTATTTTTTGTAAGTAATGAAAATTGATATGATTTTTGGAGGTTACGAAGATGAATTCTTTTCATTTTCCAAAAGAGTGAAAGATTTGTGATTGTAATTTTGGTATAATTCAATTTTCATATTGTTTTGAAAGGGCTTTTTCTTCAGTTTGTATCTTCTATGCATGATCTACACATCTTTCTTTGGAAGTTTACCACCATTTTTATATAAAGATGAAGAATTCAAAAGCCAAAATGCTGTTCTCCCTAAAAACTAACCTCTCAAAAAAAATGTACCCCGTTCCATTTAAGGAAGCTAGAAATTAGGTTACGTATTTCTTTTTAGATTTGAACCCACAATCTCCTAATAGTAACACGCCAACTAATTTCAGATAATCAATCCATTGATTATAGATACCACTCCCCTCACCAAGAATGATCTTTGACTAATATGAATATAATCACTATTTTGAACCAGAATGGTAAACAGATTCATGACTGTATTCCCAATATTCAGATTCTGAGTTATTTATAATAATCGGTACGCTTCAAGGTGTCATTTCTCTTTCTCTGACTTTTTAAAAATGTTCTATTATTCAACTGTTTACAAACATCAATATTACCGAATATTCATTACTAGAATTTTTGGGAATGGAGAAATAACAATATTTCACATAACGTTCACCTATTGACCGAATAAATATTACTGGCGTTTTTTCCCTTCAAGAGGAAGATCAGATCACTTGGTGATCGAAACACGTGTCGAGGTGTTACAATAACGGTTTGGTGATGGGAAAACTCTCCAGTAATATTCATTACTACACCAAAGGTTTTAAACAGTGCATTACAAGTATTAATTGAAATACTTCTGTTCGTAGATGATCTCTCTGATGCCAAGAACACCATCAGCGAATTCACTCGCCGCATTCACGAAATGGATTTGGAACTTCGTCGTTTGGAAAATGAGCGCGAAGAACTTACCGCTGCCTACAAAGAAGCAGAAGCTGTGAGTATTGATGGATCTCCATCTACCTTAAATAGCAAAGTGGATGAATAATATATGTCTGATGTGATTGAGGAAAAATCTGGTGTATACCATAATGGACATTGAACTATAATATTCAACTTTGTTTCAATGCAGAGGGCTTTTCTTCCAGTTTGTGTCTGAAAATTACTTGCAGCTGCAATAGTATTAGCAGAGAAATTCCAGTAGTCCTGATCTATTACACAGCAAAGCTTGTACTTTGTGTCTGCCCCGCTAGAGACCGAATCAGGATTTTAGGGTTCGGCAGAGCCGTACTCTTTCCATCTGACCTGAAAGACTACTCACCATACAAACTAATCGGCTTCGTGAAGAAGCTGGGTTTATTTGGACGAGTGTAAATAGGTGTGAGCCACAATAAATCCTTGCGGATTGCGGTGGAAAATTGAGTAGACCCACTTGCTTTGGATCCAACATCCCTCAACCTATTATACCGCTTTGGAAGCAAAATCACCATTGGTAAAAGCAACAAGTGTCTACTGGTCAATTTCTTTTGAAGAGATACCTCAAGAGCTATAAAAAAATTATTCTATTATCTTGCTTTGGTAACGAACAGATTGAGTATGAATGATTACAAATTATGAAAAAATGTTAAACTGCTGTATTTGTTTTGTTCTCTTTCATTAATTATAAAACATATTATAGGGACGTAAAGCAGAAGAACAGCGTGGACAACGTCTCTCTGCTGAGCTGGCTCAATTCCGCCACGAAGCTGAAAAACGTCTCCAAGAAAAAGATGAAGAAATTGAAGCTATTCGGTGAGTTGAAGTACATGATGAGGACACCTCATTCTCGAAATATTATCCAAGCGTACCAAAATTCAGGAATGAGAAATTTCGTCTTCAAAATTTATCAAAACAACAGTGTCAATGAAATCAATTCACAAACTAAGAGTATATAATTCAAAAGGAATTATGTAGACGTTCAATGGACAAGAGCGTATGCGAGATCATGCAACATCGTATTGAAAATTTCACTGAAACCTGTTCGGTTAGAATAACTTCTGTCTACAATTCTTTAATTTACAGTCAGGTAGATCTGACTATTAGCTAAGGCAACATTTTAAAATTAATTCAAGACAAGTAGATAAGTCAACAGACAGGCTTGTCTGGCCATCCTTCTAGATCTACCTCCCCTCCACATTTTTCTGGAGAGAGAAAGAGGCTAGATGGACTGCATACAGACTTGTGCACATTGCCAATTGCACAAATCAATTTGATGCAGAGTGCAACAGACTGTTGGTTGACACTGGAAGTGACAGCATTCTGGAAATGACCTCTGATTTTATGCCTCCAACTGTCAACTATGAACTGCCTTATAAAGTACTGTTCCCGAGTAGAGAGGACTGGATCCTACGGAAGAAGTTGTTGGTTCACAGATGGATCAAAAACACCTTCCGGTTTTTGTGCAGCTGTTTTTAGTCGCAGACGCAGGACAGAGATATCAACCTGCCTAGGACTCTATGCGACTGTATTTCAAGCGGAAATTTACGCTATTTAATTGTGCGCGGATAAAAATATTCTCGGACGGTCAAGCGGCGTTGGAAGCTCTTGGCACCTACTGAGCAACGTCCAAATTGGTAGAAAATTGCCAAAATCGACCCTCCTCGATAGAAAGACTTAACAGATTGTCTCTAGTCTGGATTTCTGGACATACTGGCCTGGAAGGCAATGACGCTGCTGCCTCCCTTACAAAGGAGGGCTTCTGCAAGTAAAGTGGCAACATTGTAAAACTAATTTAAGGCAATTAAGACGCAGGTGTCTAGCAGAGGTATCTAGGATTTAAATAAGGACAATATTGTATGTAAATGAAAAAGTGATGAATGCAGTAGAAGCAGGTTCAGTTTCGTACACCTTTTGCTTCAAATAGACCCATAAAAAAAGTCTAAATGTGTCAAATGTGGCGAGGGGGCTGGCCATTCTGTATGACCTTGACGGCCAATCCAACGACCGGGAAAAATAGTATCCAAATAGTTTGTTACTTGTCTGGAGTAATGTGGTGGTGCTCCATCTTGTTGGAATACAATATCCATATCGAATTCATTAGGATTTACTTCGACGACTTCAGTGATGATAGGGTCAACAGTAGTTTTCGCCATATCCAAATACATTACCCCTGTTAAATTTTAATCAATAAAAAGAGGTCCTACAATATGGTTTACCAATATTCCTGCTCAATCGTTAATTTTTCTGGATATTGGGTATGTGTTTCCTGGAAAATGTGAATAACGGCAATTTTGTCTGTGAACATTGCCGATTAAAAAAATGTACATTCGTCACTAAAACAAATATTATGGAGATAGGTAGGATGTCTTGCAATGGTTTCCGTCATGATTCAGCAGAATTCTGTTCTTAGATCAGGATCATCTTCAGTTAATTGGTGTACCATTTTAATTTTTTATGGATGATACCTATTCCTCTTCAAAAGTCTCCAGAAAGAGACACATCACAATCATTCACGACGGAATAAATAGACTGTTCAGGATTTACTACCATCACACCAATATTTGCACTTGCTGTTCTTCCGGAATGGACGGATGACCTGGGGGCTTTTTGTTATGTACACTACCGATAGTTGTGAATTTGGATACAAGTTCCCTCAAATATTTTCTACAGATAGGACGATTCAGAAAACGTTCATTGAAAATCCTTTCGGTCTCGTGGAAGCTACGCGTCGCACTGTAAATAAAAATCGCTTCAATTTCTTCTTCCAATGGACGAGAATTGACTATTTTAGAGATTGTTGACGTTATACCTTTCTACTTGTAAAATCGAAAACTAAATGAAAATATTCTAAGTGAACAATGATGTTCATTGTTGTACTGGAATTTTTTGTCGTTTTAACGAACAAAAAATAACTCAACAAACTTTATGGAATTGTTGGAATTACCATAAATATGACAGATAAAAAGGAATGTTTCTAGAAATATCGATATTAATGTGTTTGTCTTTAGGAAATTATTAAATGTTCCGCCATTTTGTAGTAGGTGAAGATATTGACTTCATGTTCTAGGGTTGTGAAGTATTCGTCAGGAGCTTCAAAATGATGTGACACAAGAACCCCCTCTCCATTTAATTTTCTCCAGATGGCGCCCAGTCGCCAACTTGAAAATTTCATCTGTCAATTTCACTTCAAAATAAAGTATTCATACATTAATTTCATTATCCTAGATTTCAAATTTTTGAGTTGACCCGTTCAAAAAATAAAAGGTGAGGGGACATTAAAGAAATGCACTGTATATTTTGAATTTAAAATTACGTAGTATTCTTGACATTCTTCATTGATATGAAGTTATAGACAAGCTATAAGTCATGTACTTGAATTATTTTATGGAACATGCGTTTCGTGACGTTTGCACGTTTTAATGAAGTAACTGTCATAGTGAGTGTTTATTTATATAAACAATAGAGAGCTATTTTAATATATTACCTTGATCATTGATTGGTTTGGCATCGTCGATAATAAGTACATCGTATAAAAGCTATAATATGAACCTCTTATGTATTAGTTCTCATAGTGATCGACTTATGGCGCATTCTAGTTCCTTAAAAATTAGGCGTCCTCAATGGGATATCAATCCAACTAATATTAGAGGCTATTTCGAAGATGAATTCCCGGAAATATCTGTTGGAAAGGAAGTTAGTGCTAGAGAGAAACGAAAACAGTTGAAAATCAGTGACAGTTCATGTTTTGTTTTGGATAAATATGAAACAGTAACACATAAAATCAAAACGGATTCAAGAAAAAATAAACATCTCATAAAAGAAATTAAAAAATTAAAATCTAACATGTACGAGGATCTTGAAGATTTTCTACCGGAAATGAAAAAACAGACAGAAAAAAAAAGTTTGACGTCGCAGAAATCCTTGAGAGGAAAATCCGCAAAACAAATCGAAAACCAGCTTCTTTTAGAGAGCAAGAAAGCTATTTCAGAAGGAACTGCGGAAGACTTTGAAAGCCATCAAACGCATAGCGGCATTTGGAAACATTCGCAAGTAATGGGTGACAGAATTCAAGTTCAACTAGAAGACAGTTTCATTCAACCTCTTGATAATTTGATTGTTGACCTGAAAAAATTCGACAGGAAGTCAGCGACATATTTCATGGATACAAGGTGAAAACATAGTTTTGAGTACTGCACTTGCAAAGTGTGTATATAAATTTGTGAATGCCAAATGAAGGAAGTGTTGTGCAACAGGAATTTCAGAATCTATTTCTATTAATGGGTTGCGTTTAAATTAGCTTTTGGCAATGATATCTATGCCAATTTTACAATGTACTTGCAGCAATCTGTGGGCGTTAGTTAGCTAATCAGCAAAACAATTTGACATCCAGACAGATATTGCTGATGCACATTTTCTTCTGATAATTCATTTAAAAAATTATTTTGAAAATATAAGGAATTCACTATTCTCGGTTGAATGAAAATATCTCAGTGTTTTTTAATATTTTTTCCTGGACGCTAACTTTCTTGTTCATTTCTTGTCTCGTTCTAGATTTCTAATCATTTATTCCACCTCTCATAAAATACAAATCGGAATTTTGAACCCTTTCATCATTTATCATCAAATGAGGTACATTCTATAGGCTTTGTTTCACAAAAACTTCAAAATGAAACGCCGACCTTCACCATTTACCTAAATAGGTACTATACACAAAATAGTAATGTCATATATAATAAATATTTTTTGTGTATAATAATACAAATTACTAGATTATATGCTGAGTTGGACAACTTTCCTGTTGAAGACGTTATTAATAGAATTGACTGAAAACAAAAAACTAATCTAATTAATCCAAAATTAATAATAGCTCCGGTTTCATTCAATTAGCTGATAGATTGTGAAGATGTGGCAATTATCTTTGGAGGATATTACGTAACACATTAGACTGAAAAACAATGTTTTATGTTATTTCTTGACGTTTCGTATTCTCAAAGAAATTCCTCTACGTATATTTCCCAACTTGATTGAAACAATAGTCAGAAATTCTTCAAACGCTACATTCAGTATATTTCTAGAATATGTGTTACAATATTTCCCGAAATTTAGTTGATAAATAAAGCAGAGCAAGTATAATTGAAGACTATAAACCTTCGGTAAACCATGTCTAGGTGGGCATGCTCATTTGACTGAAATGAGCCAATTTTATCTTTCTTTTTGACAGATCATTGGAATTTCATAAATGATTTCTCTGATCTTTCTCATCGGTCATAACTGTTAAATTATTTTGAATGGACTATAAACACTATTATATTCATTATATGATACAAGATGGCACATGGCATTGCACCTTATATTATTTGGTTGTTTCAAAAGTTGTGTCCGTTTCAATGTCATGTGTTTGCCTCATTCAGCTTATGACTATACTTCAAATGACCATTATATTGTTTTTTTTTCTTGGTGTCATCGGGATTGACTACATTGGTCATTAGCCTCGTGTCCTGGGTAGGCAATAGTACTAATTTCTCGAGCCACCTAGGGAGCATCATGACTATTCGCAGTCCGTCAACCATGTAATGTTGCAGAATCATTCCAACCTCAACTAGATAAATTCTATCTGGTCGAGGTTGGGATCGAACTCACCACCTTCCAGTCGTTAGTCGGGTGCATTACCACTGCGCCAATTCTCCAATTCACAATGATATTGTTAATGAACTCACTGTTCGACGTTGGTTTGAGAAATTTCGTTCCGGAGATTTCAGCCTCGGAAATGAGCACCGACAGTTATCCAGAATGAGGATTTGAGGACACTAATGGAGACTGACCGATCACAAACGATGCGTGGGTGACGGAAACCTGGGTGTCAGCTCTCATGCGGTTTTTCATGGTTTAAAACGTATTGGAATGGTCAATAAGCTCGAAAAGTGGATGCCCAACGATTTGAACGATCGACAGACATTGTGACGTGTCGAAGCATGTTCCTTTTTTGCTTTTGCGCAACTAAAACCACCCTCTTTTCGATCAGATCATCACGTGTAATGAAAAGTGGATCCTCTACGACAGATTTTCTCAAACGTATTGTTCCGCGTAACCGTACATGTCGAAGGATTTGTGGTAAAATTTGGGGTTCAGGTCCCAAACAAATCCATTGGATTTATGTGAATACTGTCAGACCAAGACTGGATCCACCGAGAGGAGGAAATATTAAGAGCAGATTGTTGTGTGTTCACAGATGGATCAAAAATACCTTCCCGTTCTGGTTCAGGTGATTTTAGTCGCAGACCCAGGACCGAGATATCTACCTGCCTAGGAACTTATGTGACTGTGTTTCAAGCGGAAATTTACGCTACTGAATTGTGTACGGAGAGATGGGATAAATCCAAAATCATACACAAGTCAATAAAAATATTCTCAGACAGTCAAGTGGCGTTGAGAGCTCTTGGCTCCTACCGAGCAAAGTCTGAATTGGTAGCAAATTGCCAAAAACTACTCTCCTCTAGGAAGACTTAACATATTGTCTCTGGTCTGGATTCCTGGCCATACTGACCTGGAAGGCAATGAAGTTGCTGACTCCCTTGCAAAGGAGGGTGCTGCAAGCAGCTTCATCAGACCAGAACCTGTCATTGGTTTAGGCTTTGTCAAAGAAACATTGAACACCTGGATGGCAAAAAGATTTATGGACTTCTGGCAGAATCTTTCAGGGTTGGCTCACCCCAAAGCGTTTATTCAACCTTTGAAGCTTGATACCAAACAGTTTTTGGGCTTCAGTTCTGATGAACTACGATGTCTAATAGGCCTTCTTACAGGTCACTGTCATTTGAATCATCATATGCAGAGACTCGGACTATTGGAAGACAGTGTGTGTCGCCTCTGTTTGGAAAATGATGAAACAGCTGCGCATATACTTTGTGCCTGCCCCGCTAGGGACCGAATCAGGTTTTTGGAGTTTGGCAGAGCCGTACTCTTACCATCTGACCTGAAAGACCACTCACCATACAAACTAATCAGCTTCGTTATGAAGCTGGGTTTATTTGGTCGAATGTGAATAGATGTGAGTCACAATAAACCCTTGCGGGTTGTGGTGGAGGATTGAATAGACTCACTCACTTTAAACCTAACCTAACCTTACCCCTATTAGACTTTCCAGACCATAGCAAACCCTTCAAAAAGGGGCTATTGATAAGCATTTCATTAAAAAATAATTCAAAAAAGCAATTAATACATCTGTTTAGCATTAGATAGAACAAATAAAGTGTTTTATTGCCTCGGGGTCTCAAGTTCGATTCCCGGGTTCGGCAAAGTATTGGGTATTTTTCGGTTTTTCGTGGTTTTCAGTGGTAATACGGAGTCTGGAACTGTGTCCGGTGTTTAACAATAGACTCTTTCCCTATTGTGTGGGATTAATAACATAACTGGCAAAAAGTGGGTGTTACATTTAATGTGTCACTTCTGCCTAGCATCCTGGCCCTTCGGGGAATAAGAGGCCCACTGTCACTTTTAATTTCATGATTTCATTGTGTTATTATCGAGTACTTTCGAACATGTCACACATTGTATTGAGATTCTTCTTTGCACATAAATCCAATCTTCAAATAGTTTTCGTCATATTTTTTTGTTCGCAAAAATATTGTTTGAAATCGAACTTTATTCTCAATTAGACCCAATAGGACTCGACGTAGTTTGTATATTTTGTGAACTGGTTGACAAATATTGATTTTCGGGACATTTTCTGTGTAAAGAACCCGTTTATGACGCAATGGCGTACCCAAAATGGTACGCGTACCCCACTTTGAGAAACCCTGCTCTACGACAACATGAGACATTCAGACCAGTGGTTGGATCACCCAGACACTTTCCAAAGATGAACACCCATCAATAAAAGACCCTGGTTACTGTATGTTAGTCGTCGGTTGGTGTGATTCACTTTAACTTTCTGCAACCGGGACAAACCGGCACGAAATGTACCAAAAATTGTGACATTAACAGCCGGTCCTGGTCAATAGAAGAAGTGCGATCCTGCTTCACGACAACGCACCGTTCGAAAATTAAACGAATCGAGCTTCGAAGTGATGCCATGAGAACAACACCAACCGTGGCAATGGAATTAATTACGAGTCTGACTGCTCTGGACCTGTACGTAAAGAAGGTTACGTTAATGGTCATGTTACGGTTGCGCACGGTTGGTGTAAACCTCGAAGTAGAAATGGGTCAATTGAGGCTGAGCCTATGGCGAGAAGCGCTTACTGCGCAACCTCTGCTGCAGGCAACCAGTCATGCAATTGAACCCAGGTTTGTGTTTAATAAACTCTACAAAATACAAATAAAACAAAACACAGAGTCAGATGCTACAAATGCAATACGCATATATACATACGGCTTAAAAACCAAAGAAGGCTCAGGATGTTTAGTGTACTCAGGATGTTAAGCCTAAGGATTAAGTGGGGAATGGGAAAAAATACCAGCGTGGTCCAATCGCCACAAAAGAAATAACCAGGAAAGAAATTTCTGGCAAAAACATAACAATCTGCGCTAACAGCAGACACGCCCTATTAGCCTTGAACAGACAACGTGTTACCTCAGGGCTAGTGCTAGAGTACCACCAAGATTTAGCCAAAGCCTCGGTAGATAATAACATTATCATGAGGTGGGTTAAAGGGCACTACAGGAGTAAAGGTAAACGCATTGCCGACTCTTTAGCCAAGCGAGCGGCTGGACTAAGAATTTTAGGACCCAGTAGCACCTACGGCCTGATGACTACGACAATTGCGGAACCAGTCAAATGTTACACCCATGCTCAACCCCTAAAGAGATGGGATGGAATCAAAGGATGCAATCTTGCTAGGATCAATCTGGGCGACCCTAAGAAACTGGCACCAAAGAAATATCTGGCGATAGCCAGTAGGATTTCTGACTCGCCACTGTCAACTAAGGAAACACCTCCATAATATGGGGCTAGTGAACACACCTTCATCCAAGATGTGTGAACAGGAAGATGAGATTGTCAGGCATGTCCTATGCGAGTACCCGGAGTCCCTTCTCGGGAGGATGTACAATGGGTCACATGTGGCCTAAGTGCTCCTCCCTACTTTACAGATATAGATGAGCGTCGAAGTTCTGTCTCACTCACTATAATTCTCAGACCTTTTGACAACCGACTACCATATTTTCAAGCCCTCTGATAATTTTCCCACTGCTGGAACCTTCACCAATCAGGACCAGACAGAAACGGCCTTCGTCGACTCTATCGATTCCCGAGCACATACTTTTTATGCTGATGGAATTAATCGACTTGTGTTACGTTGGTAAAAGTACACTGATACAAATGACACTTATTTCGATTGAATTGAATTAGTAATCACTAGATATTACAGTTTAAAGTGGACTCATGCAAACGGAAGAAACTTTCGAGACAATCCAGTATATAATAGCAATGACTTCTTTCCGTAATCATACGAGTACCATATAACTTCAATATATGTTTATTCCAGTAAAGCCACCAGTATTGAAATTGAACAGCTCAATGCCCGTGTTGTTGAAGCCGAAACTAGGCTCAAGACTGAAGTTACTCGCATCAAGAAGAAGTTGCAAATCCAAATTACTGAACTTGAAATGTCACTGGACAGTGCTAACAAGATCAATATTGACCTTCAGAAGACCATCAAGAAACAATCCTTCCAGCTCACCGAAATCCAAGCTCACTATGACGACGTTCAACGACAACTCCATGTCACATTGGACCAACTCGCTGTGGCTCAAAGAAGAGTCCAAGCTCTCACTGCTGAAACCGAAGAAATCAGGAGCAATTACGAATCTGTAAGTTCGAACTTGACCTCTCCATTAATTTCGTATTTGTTATTCAATAACATTGAATACAACGAAGATTTTTCTATAAAGTAGTGTGTGTGTGTCTTCATTGTTCATATTACTGTTTCATAAACAACAGTATAAATCTTTTCGAAGTTTCGATAATCAATAAATTTCAATGTCTTTCAGGCTCTCCGTGGAAAGAGACAAGCTGAACAAATGTACGAGGAAGCCGGAACTCGCATCAACGAACTTACGACAATCAATGTTAATCTTTCCTCATCTAAGAGTAAAATTGAACAAGAACTTTCCGTTGTGGTTGCTGACTACGATGAAATCACTAAGGAACTTCGTATTTCCGATGAACGTTACCAACGTGTACAGGTGAGTTCTGATATTTTTTCAGTCAGTGAAATCAACGAGGCATTGCAAAAATTTTGATTCCCGTATTGTATGCCTGTTTCAGAATATATTTTTGATAATGTAATTACGAATCTTGATACGATGCAAGTTTCTTTCCCTTTCGAGCTCCCAGTTAGAGTATGAACATTGAAATTTCCTAGAATTATTCTCAAAAATGAAAAATTAACAAATTTTTATAGATAACCCAGCTTTTTTCCGTTTTATGAAATTATATAGTTTTTTCATTCATTGGAATTATAATTACAGCTTCTCAAAACAATCATTCATTTTGCTGAATTATGTTGAGATGAAATATATCAATTTTTATTGAGATATAAACAACATATACCATATGAATCAAATAAATGCTAATAATAATCCCACAGAAATCTAAACGTTTGCGAGTTGGGAAATACCTTTTTCTATGTGGTTCCTAGTATATTAAAAAAAAGACACTTTTACTACTTTTTTCGGTACTCTCACCCCCTGAAGTTCAAATATACAATATTTTTTCTATGAGAGATATCACGAGACAGGAGCTCGTTTTTCCCATTGTAGGTATGCGGATAGTTTTAAAGATTTGTCTATAATTTCACTCCTTTCTGCCCTTTTTTGCATTTTTTCAGCAATTTCTGACTCTTAGTTCTCTTAAATCATTTCTTTTTTTCACCTTTCTCTTTTGAACACATCGTCTTACTCTATAAGTGATTACGGGCCTTATTTCTGTTTTTTTACATTCTTGACTATGAAGAATATCCTTTTTATTGATCATTTTCGGTTATTAATTTCGGCTACGAAAAAAAAAATTTTATCATTAATTATTTTGATATTTCAATGAACAAAATCAGTCTAATTTGGAATTCTAAAAGACAGTTTTCTTGGACTGGTGTCAAAGGAAATATGATATGTCGAAAATTTGTCAAAATTGTCACAGTTGCCTGTCGGTGTTACTGGGTTTTTAATCTTGTACAATCTGAAAAATAAATAAATCTGAATCAGAAATATGCTTAATTGTATTTTGTTCGAGTGATGTACTATTTATTTTGTATAAATCAATAGCAGTAGTAAGTAAGTGAGTAACTAAGAATAATTCCGGAAACATGTTATTCATGGCAAAACCCAAAAGGGATAAATGGAAAAAAATTGGTCATATATTGATTAGAATGTGTTGACTATTCAGCAGCTTATACAGGCTAGACAGGCAGAAATTTTAATATGAGGCACCGTGAGAATGCGTTATTGAAAGCAGCTATATCTGGACATCTACAAAAAACAAACCACACAATAAATAAAGAAATCATGAAAATTTTCCATATGTGCAATAAGAAAAGGAAATTGAATTTATTGGAAGCATTGGAAATGAATGAATTGTATAAAAATTCCAATTTCAAAACCCTAAATGACCGACTAGAACCATGCAGTTCTCCCCTTTTGAATTTGTGAATTTTGTCATCTATTTGGAGCAATCCACAAGTAGTGTTTTTGGATCAATAGTCAGTAATTTTGATATGTTATAGAAGTTGAATTATTATTTTTTGGTATCTTGAATAAGGTATTGATAATACAGGTACCTGAAGGACATTGTATTTTTAAGGATTTGTTTGTCAGAATGCGTTAATTTATGGGAAAGAAAGTCTTTGGCTTTCTACTACTCCATCTTGATACAAAAAACAAGGATGAGGGAATCTTCCACGGAAAGGAAGGAAGTAATCAATTTTAAAATAAGTAACTTTATACATGGATGTGTAGATCATGCAAAGAAGTAACTTTCAGACACAAACTGAAAGAAAGTCCTCCTGAAACAGCTACTTTCATAT